TTTATTTTTTAAATATAATTCCAACTACAATGAAATTTAGTCTCAACTGGCATTGCCCCCGACAGCTACAGATGTTGTACTTTTCTCACATCTGTTTACTGGCCATTATTTTTTTCTTTTAAACTATCCAATTAATTTCCTCACTTATTGCTTGGATTCTTTTGTTTATTCATTAGTTCCTCATATAGAAATGATTCCACTGCCAGATGCATTGTAGGCAGAGAATTTGCTTCCATCTTGTGAGCAGTCTCTTCACTCTGATGACTGCTTTCTTTGCTTTGAAGATTTTCAGTTTCATGCATTTTCATTTGTCAATTGTGTGTGCACACACGAGCGTACACACAAATGCACACGCACACACCCATGCACATTTGAGGAAGCCCGAGGAAGACCTCAAGTGCCCTGCCTCTCACTGTCCACTTTGTTCTCTTGAGACGAGGTCACTCATTGCATGTGAGCTCTCTCTTCCAGCGAGGCTGGCTGGCCCATGGTCCTCTGTCTTCATCCCAAGGCTGGGTTTACAGACACTGCTGTGAAAATCCCTCCTCTGGTGAGACAGAAACAGCTTCTACATCCTCCTCATAAAGTCCCAACAGTAAACCAAAGTACTATTCTGCCCAAGTTCACCCTGGGAAGCCAGAGAGTTTCTTGAGCTTGCGCACAGAGCATGGGAAAGGGGCTACTGGAGGAGTCTGGGTGACGCCCCAAAGCAGCTGCACTTAGAAAGTCTTCAGTCAGCATGGATGCTGGCTTTCCCACAGGCACACAGACGGGATCCCATCTCAGTTAATCTTCTCAGGGCCATATACCCTAGCATCTTGCAAGAGGCTAAGGCCACTTGCAATGAGGGCAGAATTGCATACAAATGTCTGGGAGAAGTAACTGGAACCTCAGGTGAAGGTTCAGTGACCCTCCCCGTCCCCTCCTATGAGAAAATGTCAACAGTTGACAAGCCTGATCATGATGGACTCTTGCAAGCATATGTTGCTAACATATGTAAGAACTGTTTCACTTGAGGGACCATAATCTGTAACAGGAACATGCGGTCATGCCCAGCTTTTATGTGGGTGCCAGGGATTGGAACTCTGATCCTTAGTTCTGCACAGCAAGCACTCTTACCCACTAAGCCATCTCTCTAGCAAGCCCACATTAGTCAATTCTCGTCATATATATATGGAGTCCTTGTCTGGTCTTTATCTTGGAGCAATTTTCCTATGCTCTCCTCTAGCAGTTTCCAGCCTTTCACCCAGGTTGCCTGAGAATTCATTATATATCCCAGGTTTATCTCAAACTGTAGTGAGCCTCCTGCCTCAGGCTCCTGAGAGCTGAATAAAGGCTTTTTTTTTTTTTTTTAAAGATTTATTTATTTTGTATACAGTGTTCTGTCTGCATGTATGCCTGCAGGCCAGAAGAGGGCACCAGATTTCATTACAGATGGTTGTGAGCCACCGTGTGGTGGCTGGGAATTGAACTCAGGACCTCTGGAAGAACAGTCAGTGCTCTTAACCTCAGCCATCTCTCCAGCCTGATAAAAGCTTTTAAAAGATAAAGTTGCCAGGCATAGTGGTACACTATAATCCTAGCAATCCGGAGGTAGAGGCAGGCAAAATTCTGTAATTTCCAGCAAATGCTACACAGTGAGACCCTGCCTCTAAAACAAGTAAATTACTACCAAAAGAATAAAGAAAAAAGTTGTAATAGAACAAAGAAAAAGATGAAGTGTTGGAGAAATTTTTCTCTTGAGCTTCTAAATTTGGGGTTTCTTAGGTAAGGGGGGGCAGTGGGGAGAGAGTCTATCAGACGGCCACTTAAGCTATTCTCCCTTTAGCAGAGTTCTTTCTTTTTATCAGGAGCCTCTGCTGGCCCTTAGTTTTGCAGTGTGGGGGCCAGGCAGATTCTCCCAGTGTCCTCTGACTCCTCAATTTATGCACCCTCAGGTGGCTAAAACAGCCAGAGGGTGTCTCCCAAGAGCACTGGGGCTGGGGATGCAAATATCCCCAAATACAGCACCGAAACCCGTACAGAAAGACCAGTTTTTGTGCTTTTAGAGCCCATGCGGCATTACACATCCTCCTGAGGGAAGGGGCTGCAGAAGTACATGCACACGCATCTAACAAATTCCCACGGTATACACAAACCTCCCACGGATCCACAAAACTGTACAAATACCATCTCACTGAGCACAGCCCCTACTGCACCCTTAGCCACAACACTAGAACTGCTCCTCACGTTGGGTACCCAAAACTTCACTATGCATACATACTATTACACACACAGCCTTGTCTCCACGGGCCACAAGGCTTTATTACACACGCTCACACAGCCCTTTTCTGAAATGTTGATGGCAGCTTTCTTTACCCATTCTGGACCCCCTATCGGAGGCTGTGTTTGAAGGTCTAGTCGTCCGTCTCTCACGCAGATGCCATTCCTCAAGCAGGCTGACATCCTCCTGGCTGCTGAGGGCTCCATGCACTGGTGCTGGGCTGAATTCACTCTCTGGAAATGGTCTCTTCCATTTGATCCCTTTAAACCAGCTTAGGAGTTAGGACCTGCACAGTAGCTGTCCTTTGATCTCTACATGCACCAGAATATCCAGTCAACACTCTTTGGTACATACAGACGTCAAAGAAAATCAGAGTCCTGGAAGTTCTCAAAGCAGCTGGAAAGAGCATGTTTTGTTTTTGTTTTTCTTTTTTTTCCCAGAACTTCTCATACACTTTTTAAGAACATGAGTTGAGAAAGAAAATGATGCAAGGGAATTGATGGACGCTTTTTAATGCTGGGGATGCCTAGGACCACACACATTAGACAAGTACTCTACCACTGATCTTAAACTCACTCTGCTCCAGCCCTATTTCCCTGAAGAGCTTCTAGTGCTGTGACCCCTTAATGGAGCTGAGTATGTAGTCCAAAGGTGGAACTCGGGATTGGGGAATAAGTGTGCCTCGCATGTATGGCATAAACATAAGGGGGCTGTGGCAGGGGCATAAGAGACAGTGGACAATGTGAGTAGGATATACCTCAGTTCTCACTGGTAACAGACAAGGATATAGAACATCTGCAGTCAACTAGAGCCCTTTCCAGACTCACTTGCAGTGATGGAAGAGGGCACCCTGTGCAACAGGAAGACAACAATCCATGCCTGCAGCTGCCTAGAAAGGGCAGTCCACATATTCAGTAGGCTACTGGAGGCTGTGCCGTTACCTCAGGACAGTGGGCCGGCTCAATCCTTTGTCCTGCTCCTACCAATCAGGAGGGGGATGAGTGTGTATGTGTGTGGCGGGGACGCAACCACCCACTCTTCATCCCTCAACAGTGCCGGCCTTGAAGGTCTGACTAGACTCTGAGAATGTTCACTGCTATAGCAGAAAGTGGGCCAATCCTTTGGACTGGGCCCTTCAGATTGCTGAGTCATTTCTTTGAAAGTGACCACATAGTTTTCCGGGAACAAGCAGAAGACTAGTTTGTGTTTTGTTTTTCTGGGAGGAAGGCTTCCCCCACTAAGGAGATATTAAAGGGACAATGGGTAAAGAAGAGATGGCTAGGTTTTCCTTGCCTCGGGTCCCTTCCAGATGGCCCAGCTGTGACGCACTGTCCTCTGCTTCCTGAGTGTGGACGGCATGACGACCAGCTGCCTCCTGCTGCCACACCTTCCCCGACATGATGGGCAACACGGCCCGAAGCCAAAGGTGAGAACTGCCCTTCATCCAGGCGAGGCTGTGTGCTAGCATCCATGACTAAATGTTATTGAGTTGACGATCTTCTCTGTAAGGCAGTAGGGGTGGGAATCAATGACTTCTTTTGTCCACTGGGAAAAGTAACACTCAGGAAATCTGAAAAAGCTCTTGAAAACTTTAAGTATGAAAGTAGTCGGGGGAAAGGTTAGAAAGACTGCAAAATAAAGTTGAAGAAACATCTCAAAAAGTTAGTAACAGAAATGGGAAAAGGAGTAAAATGAAGTGTGGGAGGTTGTGGGTGGGTGGGGTCTAACATCTGAGCAGTCGGAGCTTCATTAAAAGAAAATAACAATCCCCACAAAACCCAAGGGAGTAGGGGGCCATTGAAAATGAACAATAGGGGCTGGAGAGATGGCTCAGCGGTTAAAAACACTGGCTGCCTTGTAAAATCTGGTTCAGTTCCTAGCTGAATGGACTATGGCTCAAACCATCTCTAACTTCAGGTCCAGGGAATCAGAGGCCCTTGTCCGACCTCTGCGCACGTGGTGCACACACATGCATGCAGGCAAACATTCATACACACCCATTAGCATTTCCCAGGATCAAAGAGTAAGTTTTTGAAAGGGTTCAGAGGGCCAAACGGAGAGAAACATAATTCTCATCAATGGACTGCCGTAGTTCCCAGAGCTGCAGGAGAAAAACCTCAACACTGATGTCGGCTGTTATTTTAATAACCATCTACATAATTATTTTTGCCCAAATTCTCTCAATTCAACAATTTTTACATAGGTACATTTGATCAAGGTCATATAGGCACTCTACTTAGAACATTCTCCTTCACAGAAGCCACACTGTAGGACAGTCAAGGAAGGACACAATAATGTTTTAAAGACTAAAAGAGAGAGAGGCAAACACGAGAGGACATCTGTATAAGCAGAGAATCTGGTTGTTATTCAGACATTGAACGATGGTTATTAGGCTCACAGGCAGGTAGAACCTAGGGTTTGATTGTCTCAATCTTCAAGTCAAACCTACACGTTTCTCAGTGTAGTCTAATATTTCCCTTTAGTGCTTTCTTCTAATATTTAAAACCTACTCAAACCAACTCAAGTATTATCCATTTCATTTTCTTTCCCTGATTAGCCACCCATTCCAAGCCTGGTTATGAAATCATGAGTCTGGTCAGTTTAACAGTCTGGGGGGATTCTCTGATTGTCAGTGCTGCCATGGAACATTAATCAATCTGAGACATTAATTAATTAATTAATCTGAGACACAGTGGCTCCTCTGTGGGAAATAATTCAAGACGGAGGTAACTGTGAGAGCCATCCAAGTTGATTTTCTTTCTTCTTCTTTCTTTATTTATTGAGGCAGGTTCTCACTATGCAGCCTTGAACTCAGAGAGCCACCTGCCTCTGCTGACTGTATGCTGGGATTAAAGGTGTGCACCACCACACCAAGCTTTCAACACCTAACTTTCTCTGCTGGTGTGGTCATCTGGTCACCAGAGGTCAGACCAGGAGGGAGGCTGCCTGGTTAGAACACATGGAGGCAATTCTCTTCTTGTGGATCCATAGAGCCTTTCGGTGTTGTGTGCCAGCACTTAACCTAAGCACGATGCCCAGTCCTCTCTACTGTGTGCCGAAAATAGGTAATTTTTACTCTTTAGGAATGAAGACTATGGAAGTCACAAGCTCACTCTAGAAGTATGAAAATGGCATGGAAAAGGAGCACCAAGGGTTCATTTTTAATAGTTTTTCTTTTAAAAATTATAACAATTTGTCATGTTCACACCACAGAAAATTTAGTCCAAAAATCATGCAGAAAAATTAGATGATAAGAACATTCACATTGAAAGTAGGCAAAATATTAACAAAAAATGTGTGTAAAATATGCAAAATTTCACTATGAAATGCTTTGATTTGTATGATTTAGTATTTATACCAACCCAATTCAGTTGCTTGAATATCTATTTTAGAATATCTATTTTTTAAAAAAAATATCTATGCTATAAACCAGTACATGCATATCCACATGTAAGCTACCCTGCCTTCTTCAAGTTTTCTGGACTACACAAAAAACCTGGATCTCAGATATGAATACAGCCTATGGCTATCAACAGCAGCAGGGTTGGGAGGCTCTTCACAACATAGCAGTGAATCCCTCACTCACACTCTTAGAGCTGAACCAAACACAGAATGCCTTGGTGTTCATTAGTTCTAACCCTGTAAGTGGCTCTGCACTTGGTTGCTGTGTTCTTCTCTGTGTTACACAGACATGCTGACTTTGCATTCTATGCTTTGTAAGAGAGCAGGTAACTCCAGCACGGAGGAGACCATGTAGTGAGGCATGGGGGATGAAGTCAGCGGCGCCCTCCCACTCTTGTTTATCCAGACCGTGGCTTTCAGTCCCGCATTGAGGCCTCCTTGTATGTCGGTTTCTAGTGTGTCGCCAACCATCACACAGTCCCCTGGCTGCACCCCAAGGAGATCACAGCAGTGGTAAAATATGGAAGGTGCTGGTTTCTCCTCTTTCTGCTCTCCTCCTACAACAATAGCATCAAAATAAGACTGGCAGGCGCAAGCCTCGATCTTCTCCCTCTGGGTCTGTCTGTCACCGTTCGTTAACAAGAGTAGGTGGACCTCTTTGCGAAGTTCGGCGAGCATGGCTTTGACGTCTTCTGCTAGGGTCATATGCTGTAAACGCGTAGATTTCCACAGGAAATAACATTCTTCTGCCAATCTCCGATGGTTAGCACCACCTTTGGTCTCCTGGATGGCTTCTTCCCAGTGTGCAGTCCTCACGTCTGTAATGCAGGGACTGTAAGGATGAAGGCATTCCTTGCTGAGTTTAACTTGAACTTTATCGCAGATGACTTTCGCCTCTTCTCTGTAGTGGTATTTTGACTGTAAGAGCTTTATCACCTAGGCAGAAGAAGATAACTTGATCAGCATATCTTGTCTTTAGCAGCCACGTCTTGAAGCAGAGACTCCTTCCCACTACCATACCTTCTCTCGAGGGAACTGGCCTTAGTTTTAGAGATACCGAATTTAGAACTCTCCACCCCCAGAGACAACCAATCATACACATATCATCTGTCTGTCCCCCACCTCCACCCTGTGTCCCTCACTGCCTCTCATTCCCATGTTTAAAAATCAGTATCTGTTTTATGATGATTCTTCACATAAAGCAAAAAACAAGCTTTCACTGGTTCAGTAGGCTACCAGGTTTCATGCTGGTCATGAAGGCACAAAAATAAGAATTTTGCTTAAATCTAGTGGAACATTTTAATAACTTCTGAAAAGCACTTCTATCACACACACACACGCGTGCACACACACACAAGTACTGGGAATGGAACCAAGGGCCTTGTCTACATTAGGTGTACCATACCACCAAGCTACAGCCCCAGCCCTATTGTACCCATTGGTCTACCTTAACATTTACTTAAGACTGAAATGTGGCTAGTTTTATGGCTAAATTAATACACACCTTCTTAACATTTGCTATAACTCTACAATTTCCTCTTCAAGACAAGGCAGTGTCTTGAAAACCTTAGAATTGCTAAAAAAAAATTTTCCCGAGTTGGGATCTGAATCCATACTTGCCTGCTTCCACTGAAGACATGCTGGCCTGATAGTACGTACTGACCCCTTGTCCTTGGAGCATCACCACAGAAAAAGGAAGCAGACAGACAACTTGTTGATTGATGCTGGTTAGAGTACCACCAACAGTTAAACAGACAAGGACTACGGAAATAAAACTGAATTTTTTTTTTTTTTCAAGACAGGGTTTGTGTGTCCTGGAATTAGCTCTGCAGACCAGGCTGACCTTGAACTCAGAGATTCGCCTGCTTCTGCTGTAGGACAATGCTCTTGTACACTGTATTGATTTGTCACTCATATTAGTTTAATAAAAAGCTGACCAACCAGTAGCTAGGCAGGAAGTATAGGTGGGGCAACCAGACTAAGAACTCTGCAAAGGGGAAAGGCAGAGAGTCAGTCACCAGCCATATGCAGAGGAAGCAAGATGAGAATGCCTTACTGAGAAAAGGTACCAAGCTATGTGGCTAAACATACATAACAATTATGGGTTAATTTAAGTTGTAGTAGCTAGTTAACAATAAGCCTGAGCTAAAAGGCCAAACAGTTTGTAATTAATAAAAGCCTCTGTGTGTTTCACTGGTACTAAACAGCTGTGGGACCAGGCGGGAGAGAAACTTCCGTTTACATGCTCCTGCTTCCCCAACGTTAGGATTAAAAGCATGTGCCACTACCACCTGGTCCCTGAATTCATTCTTTTTTTTTTTTTAAAGATTTATTTATTATGTATACAACATTCCTTCCATATATGTTTGCATGCCAGAAGAGGGCACCAGATCTCATTACAGATGGCTGTGAGCCACCATGTGGTTGCTGGGAATTGAATTCAGGACCTCTGAAAGAGCAGTCAGTGCTCTTAACCTCTGAGCCATCTCCCCAGCCCCCTGAATTCATTCTTAAGAATAGCTGAATAAGGTTTAAGTCATCCCTAAACAAGAGTTGACAGGTAGGTAACATGGACAAGGGGAGTTTAATTCATTCCACACAGAAGCAACAAGGGCATAGATTTCTGACCCCAATGGGGCAAGCCAGTTGGAGCCAGAATGGAATGCATAAGGAGACAAGGATATGCTGGAGGGCCCTTGAACAGATGTTGCCCAAATCCCTTTCTCACCCACTTTCCCCACATAGGCTTATCCACAGATGCAGCCAGCATGCAGACTGGGGCTCAAGCGTTGCCCTAAGAGCAGTGTTCAACCAACAAGAGGCAGACTGGATAAACACCACACCTTCACTGTTTCCTGTGACAATGGAGGCGGGCTTCACAGTGTCATTCCGGAATGAGGTCTCATGCCAGCAGCCACCTGATCACTGATATACTTCATGATAGCCACCTCCACCCTTATCTCCCACACCCTACAAACCAACTACCTATACTGAACGACCTGCTTCAAAAGTCAGCCATACCATAGCAAATATTGATCTTCAGAAGCGAGAGCAAGGCATTGTGCTATGGTGGCTGGGAGTGGTGCTTGACAGCAGAACAAGGGCCTTTCCTGCACCATCAGAAGACATTCGGAATGGCTTATGGCAGCTGGCATATTACTTTGGGATAGTATGAAAATTTATAAGGACTGTTGCAACCTTATAAGATAAAGTCTTTAAAACATATAACTGTGCTAATTTCATAGACCATTTATAAATAAAAGAACAAAGACTGGAGATTTGAACTCTAGTCCACCACTCACTAGTCATTCAGCATTTAATTCATGTCAAACAAAGACAATTCAGACAGCACATTCCCTTTCAGGAAACTCAGGAGTCAGCCACAGGCACATGAGTTGCAACAATTCATGATAACATCCTCTGACAGGTGCAATAAGACCTAGCGTAAGAAAAGAACATGGCGTCACCACTGTAGAGAAATACAGCGGGTTGGTGGTGTTGCTTTGAGATAGGAGTCTCACTGTGTTGCCTAGATTAATCTCAAATTCTGGAGCTCAAGTGATGTTCTTGCCTTAGTCTCCCACGTAAATTTTTGTTTTAAAAAACAAAAAACAAAGCTCACCAAGGCAGGAATGTGGAGGGTGAATTGGATGTGGTCAGCCTGGAGACAAGATCACAGTACAATTCTACAGAAGTCAAGCGTTTCTGCAATTAAGGCAGGTAAGGGGGGGTCTGAAAGACAGGAGTGGACGAGGGCATAGTTCACTGAGTGAGCACTGGGTGCTACATTTTTCTCATGCACTGTATTGAAACTACCTGACATTTAACACAGACTAACACTCACACTCTATGGGGATCTGAGCTAAGCAAAGACAGGGGACCTGCGGAGCCACTTGGTACCGGGAGAACTGTGATTTAAACTCAGTGTGAGGTTTTCGAAGCCTGTAACCAGCAACAGCTTAAAACAAAAACTGAGTTTCCAAACACTGGGCTTAGCTGTGGGCTAAGAATGTGGGTTAAGCGTTGACTGTCTGCAGGTAGAGATAATGGAGAGGGTGTCAGAATACAAGAGACAACCAACAGTGTGGAAAGCTTCCTTTAAGACTGATTCCAAATGTGGGGAGAAGCAGCTCTGTGGAAAACTCTTGTTTAGGACAGCAAGGCCTAGGTTCAAACCTCAGCACCAAGGAAGTGCGCGCGTACACGTAGACACACACACGTAGACACACACACACAAAACCAATTCCAAATACCTAGCGACGTTGGCACTTTGGGAGTAATCTAACCACTTGGCAAGCCTATTGTACACAAGTGGTGGAGACAAAAGCTACCTACCAATGGATTTGGAAATACACAGAGGAGAGCCCTGATGGAGATAAGGGACGTAGATTTTTCTAAAAACACAGCTGTGCACAAAAGCACAGTCCAAGAGGGAGGTGGTGCAAAAATTAAAAAAAAAATAAAAATTAAAGTATGAAGCAGACACGAATTGCATGTGTGAAATGCGGCAAGAAAAAAATGGGGAAATTTTATGATCTGGATAAAAGAAAACTACCTGATGAAGCATAGGACCCTTATATTGAAACACACTTTTATAAGTGTGTTTTCCACATCTGGTACTCCTTCACTTTCTTGTTGAGGCTGAAGGCAGAGGAAAGAAGGTACGGGTGGGTTAAGGACTGGAGAAGACAAAGAAGGTGTCCGACAGCATCTGCAGCTACAGCAAGAAGGATGCGGATCAGCAACGCCGCACTAAAAGAATGCCCACTCAGCATTTTACGTCCCAGGGGGTCTCAACACCAGAGAGCCCTGCCAGCCAGACTGAAACGTGCGGAGGGGGAAAAATGACTGCTGTAGGTTAAGTACAGGCCCGCCTCTCAGAGTTATGTAACTTCCTGGACCAAAACCTTGTCTGAGCCTCTTTCCCTGCAACCCACCGCAGCCCCTCCCGCGGGGGACTGCAGCGAGAGGAGGGCACGCGGTGTCGTCCCGGGCCGTCCAAGCCCGGGTGGCCGCAGGTGGCGGCGACTCTGCAGTCGTGGCAGTTCAGAGTCCAGCACCCCGCCCCGCGTGCGCGGGAAGGAAGAGCAGCTCCAGGGACGAGCAGCGAGGGACCTGCGGGTGCGGAGCCGACTGCGGAGTGATGGCCCGGCCGGGGAGGGCGACGGCGCGGGGATGTTACCTCCATCATGCCTCTCCGGCTCGCCTCGGCCGTGTCGATGAGCGTGTTGTCCAGGTCAAAGAAGACCGCGCGCACCCGATTCAGCCCCATCGTTTCGGCTGCTCAAGCCGCGCGCGAGCCGCCTCGGCCGCACCACGCATGCGCGAGGCCGGCCGGGAAGCCGTGGGGCGGAGTCGCGGGGTCACCTGACTCTCCCGAAGTGCCAGGGCCTCGAGAGCATGTGCGGCCGAGAGATTACGCGAGAGTCGGACAGTATAAATTTAGTAGAAGTTGCGCGTGCGCGGGATGGGCTAGAGCATTTTATGGCTTCGTCTTTGGTGTGTGGGTAGATGGTTAGCGGCGCGGTTCACACTGGAAGAGCTCTCCAGGCACGGGGCTAGTCTGTCTCTGGTGACTGTACAGCCACCATCACAACCTGGAGCACCAGGGGACACGGGGTGTGCTGGATAGCCTGTAATTTGTGCTGCGCTTTCCAGCCCCGAGGAACCCTGCTGCTTGGGGTCCCCAGGGCTTACGGCTACGACTCTAAGAGAGACTGTCTTGCTATATGATTGATTTGGGAGGGCCTAGCCCACTGTGGATAGCCCCATTCTTAGTAGGCAGATCCTAGATTGTTACAGATATGAGCATTGTAAACAACAACAACAAATGGATCTAACTGTCAATTGCTATCAGTTTGCCCCTCAAAGACTGGTATAGCTTAGGGATAGCGAGGTGATAGAACTGGAGTGCACGTGGACGGGATGGACGTAATTAGGCCACTGGGCTCCACCCTTTTGATGGGCTAATGCTGCAGGGTAGAGTGGGCAAGGCGCACAGGGCTGAGTTACTTTCCTGTTGTGAGCTTGATGACTCCCACGGTTCCACACCCACTGCTTACCTCTTTTGTATGCGCTTCCTGTTGCTGTGATTCCATCCATCACGAGGCTCACTACAGCACATCCCAATGCTGACGTCATGATCTTGACTCTCCAGAACTGTGGATGCACAGAAGTTCCTTAAAAAATAAATAAATAAATAAATAAATAAATAAATAAATAAATAAAGTGCCTGATTTGTGTATTTTGTTAAGCAACAGAACATAGCCAGAGAGGGACTATATACTGAACTTTGATATAGTCATAGATGGGAATAGTACATAATCCTAAGAAAACTTCCTTTCAATTGATTATATCCCCACATTTTTGAAGGAGACTTGCCAAACTGATATCAGCCAGGACAGTGTACTTGCCAGATGTACCTTGAAAACAAGAGAATGTTTGCAGAGTTTTGGTAGAATACTGCCCTCACACTCTAACAAGGATTTCTTTGGCCAGGGGTCATGTTCTTCACACTGGGAAAAGGCTCAGTTAGTGATGTTGGACTCCCCTCTGTATGCTGTGAATATGTCTTATTACCATTGGTTAATAAAGAAGCTGCTTTGGGCCTATGGCAGCACAGAATAGAGCAAAGGCGGGAATTCCAAGCAGAGACAGAGGGGAAAAGAAGGCAGAGTCAGGACGATGTTATGTAGTCACCTATGTAGCCTGCTGGAACCTTACTGGTAAATTACAAGCCTCATGCTAAAATATAATAGAAATGGGTTGATTTAAGATGTAAGAGCAAGCTAGGAATATACTAGAGTCATTGGCCAAGCAGTGTTGCAATTAATAAATTTCTGTGTGATTATTTTGGGTCTGGGTGGCCGGGAAATGAACAAGCAGCCTCCTTCTACAAACTAGTAACGTAAGAAAAGCTACTCTTTGTCCAGGAAGAGAAAAACAAACGTTACAGGTGACTGTCCTACACAGTATGTATCTTGTGATCAGAGCTGTGGCAGTATAAGATGGCTAAGAATAAAAACTCTGCGCCCTGCTTCCCAAGGAAGCCGAGTCCTTTGCTGTTCTTCATTTTGGTGTCCTGTGAGCTCCTTGACCCCGATCTTTCCCACATCTTATTTGCATCTGCTCTTTGCTTTTAATGTGCTCACAGACAATTAGAACACCCTAAGCAGGAGCTAAATAGCCATGTGTTGAATTAGGAGCGGCAGGGCTGCGTCCCCGGCACCCGGCCGCCCGCACGGCTAGCTTATGCCCAGAAATAATTACACGGAAACTGTATTCTTTCAAACACTGCCTGGCCCGGCTAGGTCCGGCTTCTTATTGGCTAGCTCTTACATATTGTTCTAACCCATTTCTAATATTCTATGTAGCCCACGAGCTGGCTTACCAGGGAGGATCTTAACCTGCATCTGTCTGGAGCGGGAGAATCATGGCGACTCCT